CATGCTACTAGTGAAAACTAAACGCGTGAGCCCCAAAACAGAGTATTGCCGTGGGTTCTTTAGAGCTTTAAGTGGTGGAAGATTACACAAATAAGTAGAATCTTTTCAAATACAACGCAAAATAAATGAAAACTGTCAGTAAGGTAGCCGCCAAGAGCGCCCTCCGTGGCCAACGGCGAATGGTGGAAGCTCTAGAAGCGACAGACATCGGCCCACGGCTCCGAACGGCAGTTTACGGCAAATTATTTATATTTAGGATTTTTTCTCTCAAAATTTAAGTTGATCTTCCACTAGTTCAAGTATTTCTGTATTCAAAAAAAATTGCCCGTGACCCTTTTGAAATCAGCCGTAGCCTAGCGAACCTGCACCAATTAGGTCTGCATTTTCGACCTACTTCTCCTCCCCTGTTCCTCCAAGGTTTGAGGTTCGATTCCCGACTTCTCAGAGTACATCTGGGAAAGTTGTGACTCGAAGGATGGCATAAGGACCTTCAATCAGACCCACGGAGACTACGTTCGAACAAAATTCTCATTTTGAAGCTTGATTTGGAAGAATAACGACTGTTTACAAATTTTGTAACCGTTACGAAATTCTGTAACCAAGTTACAAAGAAAAAAATTGTATCCATCGTGATACAAATTTCTGTAACACATGTTATTGAAAAAGCTGCGTAACCATGTTACAAAATTCTGTACTGATTTTTTTTAGAGTGTAACATGCTGGTCTGGAGGGAGACGCCGCGGCTGCAACGCTGCACATGTCGGGCCAGGCGCGGCGGGGCGCGGCGGGGCGCGGCGGGCGCGGCGGGGCGGGGCGCGGCGGGGCGCGGCGGGGCACGGCGGGGCGCGGCGGCGGGCGGGGCGATCGCGCCGACCCGTTCCGCGGTGACGCTGCGACGTTTTATTTTGCAGGACGTTGTACAGGCGTGCGATAAAGCCAAATCACGCTAAAGCGGGCCTCCTACCCTAGGCGGTCGCAACCTGGCAAAGATCGGGTGAGAGGGAACAAAGGAACGGGGGAGGGACACCACTCTGTATGTAATTTAGTGAAGGCAGAGTGACTTTGAGAATATGCTCAAATGCGTTGGCCGATGCACTGGGGACGTTCACTGTGGCCGCTGGCCGCGAGGGGGGAACAGCTTCCCACATTCATTGTACAAAATTTGACCACATTCCACATTCAGGTGGCAAAAACGCCTGTAAGTAGGCAACAAGTGTGGCAATAGCGCCAGAAATCTTACACATTCTTGCACATTCACACAATCATTGTACACAAAATTTTACGGTGGGTCACCCCTCGGCTGGCCGCGATCTTCGGGTCCTTGACCGCGCACGCGGCTCGCGGCACGCAGCTCGCGGCACGCGGCTCGCGGCACGCAGCTCGCGGCACGTACACTCTGTCTCAGGTCGGAACGAGCCTGGCGAGGTTCACTTGCCTCCTCAGCAACTGCAGCAACACCTCTGAAATGAAAAGGGACAGACCCTTCGCAGCGGGGGTTCGGCACAGGCCGCTGCCACCCTCAATAGCAGGTAGCCGCACTACCGCTGCAACAACGCGACCGTCTCCAGGCTCGTTCCGACCTGAGACAGACTGTAGAGGCCTCCAGAGTGGGAGAAACGCGGGGACCAGAAATGCTACGTGTAATCCCTCATACTAGTCGTTTCCGGCCCCGGGCCAAGGCCCCCACCCTTCCTCCCCCTCTTCCACAGGGCCCCCTCGACCCCGCGACTTAAAGCTATCATATTATTTGAAATCAGAATTGATTATGCACCACTTTTGTACGATATGATTCGGCCAACTTATCAAAGCTCTAAAACACTCATAAGCATGCGAAATTAGGTTTAGCATGCTACAGTGCGACAAAACAGACGGAAAGTGAGGTTAGGGAGGACAGCGTCTGCTGCTCCCCCTTCTCCCCCCGCTTCCCCGCGGGGCCGGAAGTCACGAGTATGAGAGGACCTCTCGGTCAGATGAAGGCGACAGAGTCCGCGTTTCTCCCCCACTGGAGGCCTCTAGCGGCACGCAGCTCGCGGCACGCAGCTCGCGGCACGCAGCTCGCGGCACGCGGCGCACCACGCCGGGGAGGCGTCGACAAGTATGTCAGTGGCGCGCCCAGTGTTGTTGAACAGGTGTGTGGAGGGGAGGGCACGAGCTTCCGCTCCTTGTGTACGTCCTCCGCGGCCAGGGCGGCCAGGGTTGGCAGGATTCCCCGCGTCGGGTCGCAGAACGCAGAGCGCCGCCTGCATTACCATGCCGTCGTTCAAATTGCGCGGGTCTGACTCCCTCTGCCCCTACCCTTCCCTTCCCCTTTCCGCCTCTAGCTGCCGCTGTGCCGCTGTGCCGCTGTGCCGCGCGGTGCGGCTGGGACCGGCTTGGCCCGGCTCGTCTCGGCTCGGCTCGCCCGTCGCGTTGCCGTCCACGTGAGCCGGGCCGCGGCGGGGCGCGCGGGGCGGAGGGGGCGTCCCCAGAACACATGCTCGTCGCGTGAGCTGACGTCACGGCCGCGCGGCACGTGGATCGCGGCGTGGGGCTCGGCGGCGGGGCGAGCGGGGCGAGCGGGGCGCGGCGGGGCGGCGCGGCCGGCCACTCAGTCGACGGAAACCCGCCGTGTTGTGCCGGCCAGTCGTGCGAGCGCAGTGTGCAGCAGTCACGTTTCGCGGGTTATATTGTGTGCTATCACCGGGATTTGAACCCCGGACCTGCGGGTGTGTTTTAGTGTTGTTTCGCTTCACCCTGAACCGCGGCTGGAGCGTTGACGCGCGCTGACGTGGCGCGGGCACCTGGATACGCCCCGCCACGCCCACCAGGGGGTGCCACCCACCCCGACCCACCCCGACCCGCCCCACCAACGCTCTCTCTCGCCGGACCCATGTCCCGACCTACGGCGAGAGCATGGAGCAGCCCTCACCGACGTACTGGGACGACGCCGCCCACCCCAGGCACAGCCCCGGGCCGGGGCCCCCTGCCCGCCACCACCAGCACCATGACAGCAGGCAGGTTTCGTGGTACTAAAATGAAGCTGTAACTTGGTTCGTGGTTTCCTTTACTGGTGCGTGTGTTACTCTTGTTGGGCCACTGACACCCCAAGAGGATCCAGCCAGGCAGGATCCACGCACCAAGCTGGCCAGCAGACGCTGGAAACTTGTTGCGTAGCTGTGCCGGCACACTTGGTCCATCATGGCTCGGCCAAGGCTCGGCCAAGGCTCGGCCAAGGCTCGGCCATTTTCGAGTCGAGGCGGAACCGGCGTCGTGATATCGCCACTCCAATTCCACGCTGTTGCCGACTTGGTGCGATAGTGGCGATGACGTTGAACCTAGAGGCCCTGGCGGCGTTGCAACGCGTTGCCACCCCCAAGCAGGCCTCTGTCGCGAGGATTGCCCATTCCGGCCTGCCACTCGGCCTACAAACTGCCGAAGAGTTCTAAACAGCGTTCGGCTTCTCAGTGTGGCGTTCGGCTCGGCGGTTTGCTTGGCGCCCCAGGCCGGCCAAGCCCAGCCCAGTCCCGGGCACGGGCACGGGCAGTACATTCCATTTAGCACTGGGCTGACGGGCAGAACTGGCAGGCGCGCGGTCAGCCTGGGCCGGCCTGCCACCAGCGCCGAGGAGAAGGAGGGCGTGACCGCAGCCCGCTGCCTACGGCACGGCATGGCATGGTTCCAGACGCGAAGAGGCGCGGCCGTGGAGTCACGTTTACTCCAATGTGACTCCCTCTACCCCCTCCCCCTACCTCCCCTCCCCTCCCTCGGGCTTTCCCCTCCCCCCTCCTATCCTGGTCGTAGTCCAGCAGCGCGGCGGCCCACAGATCGAAAGATCGACTCTAATTCTGGATCAAACCACGCACCCAGTGTAAACTACTCCTTATTCAAATATTCGGAGAGGCACTGTGTGTGTCGATAAACAATACTTTCCGTAGTCTTTTCTCGCTGTGTATAGTCGCGGTGCCGGTGACGAAGCTCGCGTAGCGCTAGTCGAAGTACCTCGCCTCCTTGACCCGCCAAACGCCCACCTCCGTCCCGGTCAGACCCCACAAACCGGATCTTGGCCTGCCCCACGGTGTCCCTCGGTCCTCGCCGACCACGTGAGGGCCACGGCAACGGCCACGGCAACGGCCACGGCCAGTCCAGAATTTCCTTGAAACCAGACGGCTGTCCTAGCCACTGTCCGCTATTTCCCAAGAGCAGTGCATGCGTCACGGCGAACGATGGTGGACGTTAGCGGACGTCATCGGAACGCTCCTCTTCCTTGGCCGGGCCGCACGACCGCACTCGAACCCTGGCAGTAGCCGGCAGTAGCCACGCCACACGAAGTGAAAAGCGTGGGGAGGATCCGGGATCCGGGGGTTCGCTTCCAGCCCTTCATCAACTCTGTCACCACTGCCCCGTAGACAAACGACCAGGCCGGGCTGGAGCGCGCCCTGGTCACGTGTTCGGGAGGAAACGTCAACGTGTACGCGGGAAGGGTGCCCGCCCGCCGCGGCCCGCCGCGTCCCGCCGCGCCGCCCAAAGTTCACCAATCAAAACACTACTCGAGCAACGTGCGCGCGGCAGGGCCCTCGGCCCCTCGGTCCCCTCGGTCTGCCGACCCTCACGTGGCACACTGTGAAGAGTGTGGAAAACCTCATCAAAGTCTATGAGTGGACTTTTTGACAGGAAAGGTAGTGTGTTGGTTTTTTCGCCTCGAAAGCGCCTCCGAGACACGCTGGCGTGGATCAGACTCTTCTCGCTTGCTACGCCCGGAACAAAAATGCGTTTGTGCCGTGTTACCCGACACTAGCAGCAGAGCGAAGCGAAAAGGCGGGGCCACGCCACTGGAAGGGGGCCAAAGTTATCCGAAAATTGATATGGCCTGTGCGCAGCGCGCAGCACCATTCCGAGTCCCGGCCGCCCACCCCCGCACGCGCTCCACCCAGATTCGGGGGGAGGGGGAGGGGCCGGAAGGGGGTGGGGAGGGGACGCGGGCGTGGGGCACAATGGGCATTGGAACACCAACCCTGACCCAGCCAAATGCCGCCTGAAAGCAATCCCTCTGGCCCGGTTACGATGCGGCCGCAGGCAGCACACTGATTCCCCGATCAGCGTTGCGTCGCTGTCTCTCTCGCGCCTACGCGAGGAGTGCCACGAGTGTGAGAGAGGCGGACTGCCGGTCAGAGCGCCAGCCATTTAACGTTATTGCCGTGAATGTGGTTCGCCCGATGCTCGATTTCGGCCCCGAAAGCATTATCCCATCCAGCCGCTGGGCGCTGTCGGGTCGTGCCAGATCCGGGGCCGCGGCCGGAAATGGGTTCGCGGGAAATATGAAAGTGGACCGGCGTGCGTATGGGTCTGATAAGGGTTGGATCTGGATTCGAACTGAATAGGGGTAGGAGGAGAAGGGGAGGGGATAGCGGTAGTAGGCCTACGTGGCTGTAAGGGCCACAGGAGAACGCAGGGGTCAGGATGCAAGGGGCTTCTGAAAATTGATAAATTACAGTCAGTAAAGGGGTGGGCGAATGACTGCCCTTCTAGTCAGTTTACAGTGAGTGGTCGGTGTGCAAGAAGTTAGTCAAGCGCACTGCTGAGCTCGAGCCAATTTTCGCTTAAAATGCCACATGCGGAGACGGGGCCCGATGCCCACACTGTCCAGCGCGATCGCGTATGCAGGCAGCGGAAGGTGGCGCCTCCGCCCCTCTAAGCGATCGTCGATAGCTTGTTTCGGTGGCGGGCAGAAAGGCAGAGAGGCAGAGAGGGTGGGGGTGGGGCGATTTCCAGAACTCCGAACTCGCACTGCACGCGACCGGCGAGACCGCCGGCCCCGCAAATTGGAGAGTTTTGTCAGGCATCGCCATCAGTCGCCCTGGAATATCGTGCCGGAAACGAGCATTTAGGGGCTGGTTTCGACATGACGCCAAAATGGCACACTTGATTCACGGTTGTATCAGACTCCAACACAATTGTTCTGCACTTCAGGCTACTCTAGAGTTATAAATAGTCGCGTTTGATGTTTCACGTGCTGTGGACCGTGGACACCCCTCAACGGCCCGAGGGCCCGAAGCCCCATCCAAGTGGCGGAAGTCGCTTCTATGACATAACTGGCTATGTTTGGCGTTTTGCAGGCTAACTCCGCAACCAGAGCATGGCCACGCCGTCCACGTGCCCGTGGGGCCCAGCTCCGAGGCCGGCGGCCGCCTGCCCGAGGACCAGAGCATTTTCCACTACTGCGAGGGGTGAGTTCGTCTGGAAGCTGCAAACGTGAGGGCCCCGCAGCAGTGTGCTTCGTCGCTCGGTCTCTCTCACGCCCTTTCCTTACCTATGAGTGCGAGAGAGACGGGACCGACGAAAGCACGCAGTTCGGAAGCAGCCTCCGCAGCCCCCCACCACGCCGCTAAACGCCTCTCCCTGTCCTTTGCAGGAACCTCAACTTCTCCACGGCGCACAGCGAGGACGATGAGTACTTCCACAAGCGGAAGTTGTCACGGGTAAGCACCGAGACGGAGTTGATAACTAAATACCCCTCCCCATCGTGTGTGTGTGTGTGTGTGTGTGTGGTGTGTGTGTGTGTGTGTGTGTTTGCTGCCCGTTGAGGCCACGGCACGTGACGTCGGCCAGGGCGACCAGGAATAGCTCCCTTGTACACCGCCCCCTCCCCCCCTCTCAGTGGCCAAGCGGCCAAGCAGTGGACGAGCGTGGACAGCGCCCGCCCCGGCCGGCCCACCCCTCCCCCTTGGCGCTGCCTCCACTGCCTCCGCTTTGGTCCTTTGGTCTGTCGCGGGCTCGTCAAAGCTGTCTGAGCTGTCTGCGGTCCGAAAGGGGAGGCAACTTTTATCATTCTTTATTTATCCCCGCGGGCGAGGAGCGAAGCTCGGCACGCGAAAGCGAAGAATGGAAAAGTAGCTCCCTGTGGCGCGGTGCGGCTGGGGCGGCAGGGCTGGGGCGGCTGGGCTGTGCGGCTTGCCTCGACAGGGTTACAACACATCCGGCTGGCCGGGGCCTTGATAACAACACTGTGTCAATACGGACGGGGGCCGTGGCGCGACGTCGAGTATATCTCGCTTCCAAAATTGAAGCAATGACCATCGAAGAGCAAGCTGATGCATGCATCGTTTAATTGGGAGTGTATGTCACTGGATGATTGGGTGCTGTTCACACTTCTGTCTGGCCTGCCTGCCTGCTAGCCTGATTTTATGATGATGTTAGTGCACACACCTGCGTTCGCCTGCTTTGTTTTGTTTCCGTTAGGGTTGGGTGCAATGGTCAGGTCGCGGGGTCTAGAACGAAATCCATTGCTCGCCCCTCGCCCGCCCCCTCCACTTCCGCTGTGGAATCGCGCCTTACGGGTGCGTTGCCCCCGCGGGCCCCGCGGTGCGTCATCGCCGCTGCGGATTTCGGCCGCGGGCGGCGCAGGGCGGCGCGGCACTGCAGGCTGCCGGCGCTGTCGTCTCTCCGCCTCGCTCGCACTCACGGCGCGCTCCGTAGGGGCCGTGGGGGTGCGAGAGAGACCGACCGTTCGGAACGAGCCTGCCGGGCGGCACGCCCGCGGTGCCCCCGTCCCGGTGGACACGAGATAGGTGTCGGCGTGCCCGATGGGCGTGCGCGCGGCGCGGCGTGGCGGCGTGGACATGTGACAGGCCGGCCGGCATGTGACCGCGTGGAAAACGCCCGTGGGGTGACTTGCCCGCCGTGCCCGCCTTCCCGCCTCGCTTGCGCAGCTTGCGCAGCTTGCGCACGTGACCCGGGCGCGAGACTGCCGCGGCCGGAGCGCGACGACACCCCACTTCACCCCACTTCACTGCTATGATGACATGCACGAAAGGTGCGATGCCGTGTGACGAAAGGTGTGATGCCGTGTGACATCGCACCTGACGTGCGATGTACTGTAGCTTCCCCGACACGGCCAATGCCAACGCATGAGGGGTTCCGACCCACCGCACCCGATTTCTTGGCTTGGCGGTGTTTCCGCGAACGCGCGAGGGGCGCCCGGCACGCCTGGGCGCGGCCTTGGTCGCCTTGGTCCTGGGTGTCGATCACAGCCCTCCGCCGCCCTCGGCACGTGGCGAAGGCGAAGGCGGAGGCAGCGTGGCCCTCCCGGTGGCGGCCGGGCGGCCAAACGATTCGCCGCGCCAGACAAACTGCACGGTTATACGGACATGCTAAGCGGGCAGCGCTGGAGCAAAATGGCGGCTGGCCCGGCTGGCCTGCCGCGTGCACTTTGACTCCGACGCACAATTGTAGGAGGGGTGCATTCGTATTCGTCTGTAGACTCGAACAAAGTTCTTTCTTGGACTGATCGTACTCCTTCCAAGTCACGGTGTTCCAAGTCCATGCCCGTCCACCAGCAGGCTGATTCCGAGCGGAACTCCCGGCGCGCTGTCTCTCTCGCACTCATGGGATGACTCCTATAGGTGCGAGAGAGACAGAGCGACGAGAACGGCTCTCGGAATGAGTCAGCTGTGCAGGGCGAGGAAGCGATGCCATTGCCATTGTGGGGGCCGGACAAGGGCCGGGAATAGTGTCGCCGGGATGCCGGCCCGGTTTGCGTCACGAAGTGCGTACAGTGCGCTCGGTGCGCTCGGTGCGCTCGGTGCGTGCGACTACACCGCGAGACATACCGCCAGACACGTGTGGCGCGTCACCGCGGCCCGCGGCCAGGTCACGTGTCCGCGGCCATCGCCTCGCCGGCCCGCCAGGCCATCACGGCCACCACGTAGCGCCGCGGCAGCCCGTCATAAATCCACACCGTGGACCGGCGGGGACCGGCGGGGAGCGCCCGATAGCGCTTCGTGCGTCGTCCGCATCCCCCCCCCCCCCCCGGACAGTGACAGTGCCCCGAATCACTGCTGGTTCATAGTGGGGATGGAACGGCAGGACTTTAGCACTACTCGTTCATAAAACCTGGCATGACTTTTGAAAAATGGCAATCCACACGAAATTGGGGTGTCGTAACGATTGTACTGCATGCAGAAAAGTGCGTCCGGGAAGTAACAGTAGCATCGTTTCTCCGTGACGTGTCAGGATCGTCGCGACGATCGATCGTGACAGTCTTATCTGAAGTTAGCAGTGTGGTGGCGACGTTTCACTTGCAGTGTGGCGATACATGTGATGCAGTCCCCCCCCCCCTCCTCTTTCTGTTTTCAGGGCTGTATTGCAGCGAGTTGCGAATGTGTGGCAGTTTGTCGCGCGGACAGTAGCACTGCCACTGCAGTTCAAATAAAAGTTGGCCAGCCCGCGGCCAGCGGGCCTCGCGGGATCGACGCTGGTCACGAGGCAGTAAAAACTGCTGTGTTGACTGTGGTCAGGTCGGATCAGCGGGAAGCGAGTGGCAGGGATAAGTCCGGCGGGCGGCGCAACGCCGACCTTCTCAACCGCTCTATGCTCTAGCCGGCTCTAGCAGCACGAACAGACACCCCCGCCTTTCCAGCAGCTCGCCCCACACCGCGCGTCGTCGCGTCGTCGCAGGGACGCCCCGCTGCACAGACACGTGCCTGCCGCCCTCACCCGCCAGCCGAGGCACGCCAAGGCAAGGTGCCTACAGCGTGGTGCCGGCGCAGCGCAGCCCGCCCGGAATTCTCTTGTCAGCGGCTTCTGAAGTTGCGACCCCTCCAGTGCCGTGCCACGCTGCGCCGCGCCACGCCACGCCACGCCCGCCACGCCACGCCACGCCGCGCCACGCCACGCCACGCCGCGCCACGCCGAAGTCCACGTGAGGAGCCGCGGCCGCGCGGAGTGCGCGGAGGAACGTGACCCCCATCCCCCACCCTGCGCCCCTCCCACCGGCTCCCTGTCCGTCGGCCCGTCCCCCGTCGGTCCCGGACCGCACCGGCACGGCATCTTTCCGCCGCGCCTCGTCGCTCTGCTTGGCTCTCTTGGCTCTGTCGGCCCTGCTCCCCCTGGAGGCCCCTGAGTGCGACGGCGACAGGCCGCGGTCACGCAGCCGCCCCGGCCGGTCGGCCCTGCCCCCCCCTGCCCCTTCCGCCGGCCTTCCTCCGCGCCCGGCCCGCGCGGCCCCGCCCCGCCCCGCCCCGCCCCGCCCAAGCGGCCGACGTTATAAAAGGGGCTCCCTATCGCCGGGCCACAACATTCGAACTCGAACGCCGGGCGCACCGGCACTGTACGTATCGTGGACGCGCTCGCGTCGTCTGCTCGTCGCCATGGTGACGGAGAGCTCACCGCTGCAGGAGCGCCACCCCATCCTGGGCCTGGGCGCGCCGCCGGGGGTGCCCGTCGCCTTCCCGTACCGCCACCGTGACAGCGGCTTCCACCACCACGACGAGGAGCTCGCCGTCCACGCCGCGCTGGCGCCCGTCCCGCTGCTGAGCGCGCGCCGGGAACCTCGCGAGGTGTGTGTGTGTGTTTGTTGGTGCCCCGTCACGTTGGCCCGCGCGTGAGTGTGAGTGAGTCAGTGTGCCGGACTCCGCGATGCTGGCGCTCCGCTGGAAGTGGAAAGTGAATCCGCATGCCGCACTAAATCCCATTTTTCTCCGAGCGCCTGTCGTCCGGCGGGTAGGCAACGCCGCACCACGCTGAAGTGTGGAACATGGGATGTTGCCTACCCTGCATGCTGCAGGCGCCCAGATCTGCAAGGGGGCTGTGCGGGTAGTGGGGACTTAAGGTTTTGCAAATATTGAGTGGACATGCGAGTGATTGAGCAAGTAAGGGGAGAGCAGCCGGAGTCAAGGTGTAGGGTGTGGTTGGACTGAGTGTGCACACTCTTTGACCTTTTCTTGAAAATCGTTTTTAAACACGCTTGGACTTCTTTTTCCACTCGCCGGCGTGCCACAACTCGGCTGCCAAAATTAAGAGTCCCAATTCGGTTTTCGAAACGTTGGCGGCAGAACGGTGACAGTTTCGATGCGGGCCTGCCCTCGCCGCCGCCCGAGCTGATGATGATAGTGTAGGTGCGACGGGGAAGAAAAGTGCAGAGCGAAAGTTGCGCTGCGAGTCACGTGACATACGGCTTACGTTCCGTGTGAGTCAGCATAGGCCGCGAGTCGCGCCGCAGTGTGGCGCGGAGGGGGGAAGGGGGGGGGGGGGGCATCGCCGACAGACACGTGCAGCCACACGTGTGCTGTCTGACAGCCTGACTGCGGCTGCGACTCACAAACATTCCGTTGTTTTGGCGGCCGATGCCGGCAGCCCAGCTGTAACCGCGGATCAGAGAAACTTTTTTGTTGTTGTTGTTGTTGTTGTTGTTGTTGTGTAACCGTAAAGAACGTCCTCACCTCAGCCAAGACGCACCAAAAAAAATATTGACAGGAAAAAATATGTTAATGAAAATTTCAGTAGACATTGTTGTGTGGACGGAACTGGACCAACCATGATGTAACTTGCGTGAAAATGTGTATGGAGACGGAACGGGAGAGCCAGCCCCCCGGGACTGACCGAGCAAAGGCCAAACTGGTGCGACTATCGCATTTTCCCAGCTGGAGCTCTTTCTGTTTGTATGCGATATTCCGCGACGGCTATTTTTAGCTTTTGCATGCGCCTCTGCTGCGGCGTGATGAAGGCCGAGAGGGCAGCCGCGGAGCGGATGACACGAGGCGGGGCGGGGCGGGGCGGAATGCTTGCAACGAGCATCCTCGCGGTGACTGTGTCGGCACGTGCAGCCTTCCCGCGGCCCCTCATGTCATTTCCAGCCGGGCGTTTGTTTATTTTTCATACCGACCTGCGCCATGGCCACGCGCTGGAGCAATCACGGAGCGACGCGCGTGCACTCTGCAGAATGCGCGCACGTGCTAGTCTATAAGCTTGCACCCTGTTTCAGAGCTACACTGTAAAATGTATATCTGGTGGCTTTTCAGGTGGCGGTAGAGGGTAGTACAGAGCCGAGGTAAGTGGATTTCCGTAAACTCAGTAAGGTAAGCCGGCGTCCATTCGTCGCGCAACGGCCGGCGCTCGCCCCGTTACGTGATAAATGGACGCGGCGAACGGAGGAACTTTTTCAACGCACGAAAAATCGGCCACCGCTCAAGCATGAACTCGTTGACTCGGCTTTAGCTTCACTTGATTGGAAGTCCACCCGCCCACCAGTGTTATACGTTTGCAGTGTGGCTAAGGATGTCCTTGCAACACGAAATCGAATCGTTGGTTGGGCCACCGAACATGATGACTGGTATCGGGACTGCAACGCCTTTTCACTGCGAATCATTGCACCCAAGGGCAGCGATTTGACTCGTTTTTCGTTGACACGACGAAAACGGCCGAGAATGGACTTCTCACGTCCAAATACCAGTAGCCGTGTTCGCTGGGCCGACTAGACTCGGACTAGACTCTCGCCGTGTGGACCACGGTGTGGACCACGGAGTGGACTCTAGACCGTGCCGGACCGTGCTGTGTGCTTGCAGGACCCCATGTCGCACCGCATCATCGAGAAGCGGCGGCGCGACCGGATGAACAACTGCCTGGCCGACCTGTCGCGGCTCATCCCCGCCGAGTACCTGAAGAAGGGCCGCGGCCGCGTCGAGAAGACTGAGATCATCGAGATGGCCATCAAGCACATGCAGTACCTGCAGAGCAGGGCCAACCTCGCCGCCGGCATTGGTGAGGACTGAGGGCGTGGACCGAGTGAAAAGGCGGCTTGTCTATCGAGGATCGGTTGAGCTAAACTTGGTTTCGTTGTTCCAGACTGCGTCGCGGCCCCGCACCTCCCCGGCGACCTCCGAGTCACCAAGTGCGAGCAGTCCCCCGGGTCGGACCGCGACGTGACGCCGCTGTCCGAGGCCCCCGCCACCCCGCCTCCCAACGGGCTCGGCGCCGATCCCACGGGTGCCATCCGGCCCGTGGTCAGGCCCATCGTCACGGAGCACTACCGCCTCGGCTACCAGGAGTGCCTGTCCGAGGCCATGCACTTCCTGGTCGAGGTGGAGGGCTACTTCGCAGGCGACTCGCTGTGCGTCAAGCTCATCAGCCACCTGCAGAAACACTGCGATAAGATTGTTAAAGGTAGGTCGACTGCGCGACTGTGGGGCGGCGATTAGCAGAACACTCTTGCGTGTCTCCACCCAAGAGAAAATTTTGCAGTAAAAGTAATTTTATTCAGCAGAAGCAGAATACAAAATGAGTGTTGACTAAACGGCGTTCTTCTTGTGGTGCAGGCGACCGACTCAACTTCCCGCGGACTCGGCAGCCGGGCGAGACGACCTCGTCGTCGGGGAGCTCCAGCAGCTACGGCGCGGCGGGCGGCAGCGCCAGCGCCTCCAAGCAGGGCCAGTGCGCGTCGCAGACCTCTCAGACGTCGCAGAGCTCGGGCACCGAGGAGTCGTCGGCCAGCCACGCAGCCGCTCACACGCAGGCCAGCCAGGCCAGCCACCCCCGCGGCGCGGCGTCCAGCCAGCTCAGGGACATGCTGTGCGCGTCGCCGCCCTCGCCGTCCGCGTCGCAGCCATCGTACCATGTGGACGCCATGGGCCACCACGGGCACCACGGCCTGCCGCAGCACTACGAGACCTGCACGGAGCGGTGCGGCGAGCGGTGCGGCGACGACGACGGCCCCGAGGCGCCTCGCCGCGACGCGCACAGCCCGCACCACCCCTACGTGGACGCGCACAGCGCGCATAGCCCGCACCCCGACGCCATGGGGCACCACCACAGCTACAAATTCAAGAACAACATCAAGCAGCGCTTCTGCGAGGAGCACAGCAACGTCGGCGGCCACAAGCGGCGGCGCACCGTAACCCGCAGCCCGCCGCCGTCGCCGTCCGCCACGCCGACGCCCTCCCAACCCTCGCAGCACGCCGCGTCCTCGCACCAGACGCAGGCCAGCGTGCCCATATTCGTGCTGCACACCAAGGGCTCCTTCTACATCCCCCTCACCGTGTCCTGCGAGGCGCTGGCGCCCTACCTGGACGTGGACCTGTTGTCGGACACCGCCAGCTCGCACACCAACTCGGGGCCCATGGCGCTGGGCCTCGTGTCCTCGGCGACGCCGTCCGGCATGGTCCTGCACCCCGTCACCATCTCAGTCAACTTCCAGCAGTACTGGAAGCCGTCCCCGCAGACGCCACATTGCCATCCGCACGCGCCCGTGGCCGCTCTGCCGCCCCCGCCGCCCCCGGCCGCAGCGGCACAGGCGCTCGCGCTGCCCCCGCAGACGAGCCACATCCCCAACCCGGCGCACGCCTGGTCGCGGCACGGCCACGGCCACGGTGCCGCGGACGCCGCCGTGCCCGCCGTCGCCTTTTACCCCTCGCCCTCGTCGCCGTGGGAGATGTGCGCAGGACGCACGTAATCTTCTCATTATGTCCATTCTCCGCTTTCGACTAAAACTGATACTTGGACATGACTTGGGGGGGTGCTGAGAACACGATCTTGTTCAATAATTAGCTATTTTGCGTCATGCCCCAAGCTGGAATTGGGATTTCAAGTTGGACTTCTGTTTAAAAAATAATGCCGATTGACTCGGCATAAAACTTAAAAATTTCCAGATTCAAATCATAGTTGGACGAGAGTGCTGAATAAGGCAATGAGGTCACTACTTGTTTATGATATGCGCTTCATTAAGACTGAAAGGTAAACCTGTTTGTATTTATTCTTAATCGTACAGTAAACCTATTTTTGGAAGTGGGAAGTTTACTTCTAATTTCATTTCTTCTTAGGTAGAAACCAATTTAGTTGCTTTCCAAGATCCCTTTTGAAAAATACTCAAACCACAACTACTCTTGAACTGGAAATTACAAAAATAAATTTTGACCAATATCTCAGACTTATGCTAATTAGCCGTTTTCTTGTAATAAATTAGTAGAGTTTACATCAAATCTTCATGCATTAGACGAGCTTCCATAGAGACTTTGAACAAGAAAAAGGTTTGTCACTACCAGTAACCACTGTACTGTAATGTGTGTATGAATGAGCAGTTTACTTTGACAAACAGGAAAAGATTCAAAATATGTGCACCCTAATCCTGTCAGTCTCACTCGCGAAAATAATAGTATGCCAACATACTCCTAGTGCTGACCTCAAAACAATAGCGGAAGAGAAGACCTCAATTCCTACATCCAAAAAATGATATTATTTTTCCCTTGAGGGGAGTCAAGCCGTAGCGGCTTCGGCTTTCAAATCATTCCATTCTCAATATGCATTACTGAGTTGTGAATAAGGTATAGTTTTAAAGGCTGTAACTTAATGTTACAAAATTGTGGCTGTGATAACAGTGACTTACTAAGCATGGTCCACTTGTACCATCCACCTGGTCATGACCGTCAAGCCCTCCATCACATTTGATTATTGTTACAAATGTGAAGTCTGGAAGGAATGAGCAGCTTGTGACTGTACAGTATCGACAGAGGTGATTCAATCATCACATTGTATTAAATGTGAAAGTATAATATTATTAATTAAAACTTAGATGCCATATAGATGATTAGTATCTTTTTTCGTCCTTGCCTACCCTCAAAAGTGTCTTGGTGTGTATATAAGAGCTCCTTGTGACAAATACACTCAGAAAAATGAACAGAGGAGGGTCTCTGTAACATTAACTAGAACCATTAAAATGTATGGTAAACATCATAATGAAGAAAAAGAGGTGTAGGGAAAGTAAAGTCAGAAGCAATATGAGACAAAATATAATATTTTCCTTCAGAAAACCTTTGCATCAACAGTCTGGTGTTGAACATAATATGGAGAGAAATCTTCTTCACAATAAATTACACAACAGAGCAACAGTTGCTATAAAACTCTTCACATTACACTATTTGCAAGTTTGTTGTGTATTCCTGCACTGTAGGCAGGAAGAACATTGGAAGTACACTAATTCTAATACTAAATCAAGGATCCAATGCACATACCCATTTAACAGCAGAAACAATTCAACAATCTCACTGATCACATATCTGCATGCATGCATTCATTCATTCACACACACACACACACACACACACACTTACATACACTCGCAACACTATTGGTGCACACTAGGACACCTGTGCGCTTTTCTACATTTGAACCTTATTGTATCACATACGCACTTCTTATACTTTTCTCAAGATTAGAACAAATTCAAAAAGAAATTGTGGAAGCCGCTTATGTTATTGATCATTCTGATATGTAGGCCACACAAATGTGTTCCCATTACAAGGACTTTTGTACTTTCACACCTCAGTAGCAAGAACAAATCAATGACTAACGCTCTTTAAGTAGTAGGAACACATCTGTCACAAAATATCACAAATAAAGGTAAAATGTGATGATGCATGAAAAACAAAAAAAGAAGTCTGCATAAAAAAAGAATGTGTCATCTTAATGATCAAAATATTCAAAAGAAATATATTAGATAAATTGGCATGCAGCACACCAACTTTAAAAACATTTAAGACAAACTGTTGGGTTTAATATGCAGTAGAGGCTATTAATTGGAAAAGAAAGAAAAGCTTTTACCCAAAAGGTCATTTCTATACAACTGACTCTAATTTAGAGCAGTAAGATATTGCAGTCCAGAAAAATATTTTGACCATTAATGTCAGAGCTTGTTGCCCATCTCCATTTCTTATCTGATAAATAAAATGAAAAATTGGCTGAAGTCAAAGCAAATATTGAGGGAGAAAAGTAAATTAAATGTTTAGAACTGTTGGAAGGGGAGAAGTGGGGGTGGGGGAAAGGATCTAAACCCTGTGAGACCCGTAAGATCTATTGCACATTATTGGGACATAAGACAGTGTTCAGTATGAAAGTGTTAAAGGACACTAAGGTAATTAAACCAAATCCAGAGACTACAAAACAATCTAACAGAAGTACCACACCACTCAACAATTTTTTTGGATCACTAAGCCCTCAAACAAAGCATTGTTATCTACTGGTAATACTGACATTCAGATCATATGAGATGTGCTTTCAGAGCAAGGAACGGAATAGATGAACAAACATCACAGAATGTGATTTTCATACTATTCTCAATAAGGCTTAGATACAGCAATAAATACTGAATCAAAGTCACCGGTAGGCTATTTAAGACCAATTGTTCAATGTAAATAAGCAGGACCTAGCTATCACAAGTATACCTAGAGAGCACGCTTGCAGCTTGTCACATTGATGATCCATAAAACTCTGTTAGTTAAACAAAAGTCAATAAAAATTGACTTGCAGGTTGTTACTGCGGGTTCTTGGAGAACCAGACAGTATAAATAATTAATTGTGGCAGCTGGTACCTGCCAGCTTTCCTGCTGAGAAGCATATTGTAGATGACAGAAAAATGGTCAACATGTATCACACATCTACTGCATTGAAAAATCCATTAAAAAATTAATCTAAAACTCCACAAGAGACTTTTGGCTACAAAATGGATACCATTTCAAAAGGACAAGGAAATTTATTTACAGCATATCCTTAGTCCAAAATTTAAGGTTGCATTTGTAAAAACCTTAGCAGGAACACAAGATGCATTCCATAATCACACAATTTAAGTAAAACAACAGCTCACACAAATTGTCCTTAAAACTGCACTACTTATCTAATTTACTGTACATCAAGATAGAAATTCTTCCTAGCTTTTTAAGTCAAGTAAATAATACGTAACTCACAAAAAAAATACATTTTTCATGTGAGACAGAAAGTCTTAAACACACTTCTTTCATACCACCAGACGCACAGGCTTGATGTGATTAGTGTCTATCTGCATGAATGATGCTTTTAAGATGATTGAGGTCCATGGGTGCTGGTCCAGGTCACACGTTCCACTGACACCACTTTCTCAGATGCAACGTCATAGAGCAGTGAACTTCCGTTGCAGAGAAGCTTCTTCAGTACATAACTTCATACACAGTAGCCTTCTTGTCGCCAGATCCAGTCACTATATACTTATCGTCACCAGAAATGTCACAGCTGAGTACTGATGACGACTCTTTTGACTGAAGGACAAAGAGAACAATTTTTGAAAATAACAATGCAGATGCAGAATAGTACATTTTCGTAAAATAAACTTGTGCGCTTGCATGGATTTAGAGGGGTCTGTTGCGATTAGGAGGTAAAAAGACCCGCAAGCTAACATTTTATTGTTAATTACCTGGAATATTGAAGCACCATATGGTGTTCGCCATGCATTGAGGAGGTTGTCTTTGCCAGTAGACACAAACCACTTCCCACATGCAGCAAACTTAAGTGATAGAACACACGATTCATGGAGATGCAATTGGTATTTGTCAGCCTTGACAGCATGCAAAACTTCTACATTTGAATTCTCCATTCCAACGGCTAACCAATCACTTGTTGGACAGTAGCCAAGGGAGAATATCTGGAAAAATAAAATTTGTGTAGAAATCACAGTTGAAAACCATGTGTACTGCAGAAAATATATTCAGGAAGAATGAAATGCATTACTTGTGAGTTGAAGTCGTGCTGCTGTAATTGTCGCCCTTCACGCAAATCCCATGAACGGACTGTGTTATCCAAACCACCCGTCCATAATTTTGTGCCCTCTGATGAAATATCAATACAAGACGCACCATCTGTGTGCCCCTGGAATTGCCGGATTAAGCTCTGGTTGTGAAGGTCCCAGACAGCAATGTTGCCATCAGAACAACAACTGAAGCACACCTGTTAAAATGGAAATTTGAGCATGAGAGGGCTTTAATTCACTGAAGCAGGCCAACTAACACAAAAGAAAGACTATTACCTTGGAATCAGGACTGATGGCAAGGGCATAACAAGCAGGAGCAGTTGAGGTGAGTTCAGCCTTTATTCTGGGAGTGGGTGATGCAAGGTCCCAAATGCTTAAGTTGCTAGCCTCACCACCCACAATAAGTGTACGAGCATCCGGTAGAAGCTTTACGGATCTAATGTAGTTATCCCTTTGCTGGTTATGTTGGAAAAAGAAAAAAGAAAAAGGAAAATTTGTAAAACATTCAGAAATTTTGGTTAAATATGCCATTACCAACACTGTAGTACTCACCAGACAATCCAGCTGGCTAACAGGAGTGTTGTTGCCTGGCTGACTTATGTCCCAAACTTTCACACATCCTTTACCGCCAGTGTAGACATATTTGGTTGGATTACTGATGGTAACCGCACAAACCACCTCACCATGGGCTAAGGTATTTATTTGTCGGGCATGGCGTGGAATTCCAGGTCCCGTCAAAGCATCATTCGGGAAGGGCACTGGTTGAAGTTGGCCGTCTCCATTCATATGAAATGAGTAAGCTCTGAAAGCAAGAAAGGTCACTGTAACAACTCTATCACACAAAATCAAATAGAGAGTAACATGATTTGAAAGGTAACACTCACGGTTTACCACCAGGAATGCCCAAGCCGTTTGGCCCCAATGGAGGGCCTCGAACACCAGGATGTGCGTCAAAGCCGAGCTGAAAAAACACAAGTCCATTTAATAAGATAAAAAAAATGTGAAGGTGATTTTCAGAATACATATAAACATGATATTTATACTTTATTTCTAAATGCACACACACACAACTTTAAATATGGCCAACAGAGTAACTAGGAGCTTAACATGTGGTGTTGGACATGCACAAACTGTATTTATCATTCTGTAAGCACAATTATGGTATGGTGCACAATTAATAAAACACAATAAAAACTCAAGACACCAAAATTTTGCATAAGTAGTAGTAAAAAATATGAAGAAAGACAAGGGGTTGAAGCAAGTTTTCAAGAAGCAAAATAACAAGCAAAATTTGAAGCTTTCCACAAAACAGATCTGTGATGAAATGAGCTGCAAAATATCCCAATCTGACAAGTCAACTCATAAATGCAGTCCAAGAGATGGCCCACAACACTACAAACTTCAAATGAATGAAATAGCACTGTGTGATTGACAAGACAAGATAAAATAGTAAATCAAAGCATCAGAAAGAAAGGATTTTTTTTTTTTTTGCAAATGCATGCACATTTTTAAAAAAGTTATCTATTTTCAATGAACTACACAGACTTGCACTCGAAGGATTTTTGGAGGGCACAGCTATGTTTGATAAAATTCTCAACAAACACAAGATTTAAAAAGAAGTGCAAGTGACTACCACACATGCGTCTGTTTCTATGGAACCTGAGTCGGTTCCTTCAAACTAAACTTCATGCCAGGCAACAGGTGGAAGCGTACCAGGCCTGGAGCGCCCGGCCGGGCAGCATATGGGGATGGCGATGGGGTACTGTACGGACTGGGAGCACCTGCTGCTAGGGCCGGCGCTGGGGAGAAGGGAGGGTGCAGGCCCTTGGATCCCACACCGCTAGGCGTGGGGTGTGGGGTAGGGGGCTTGTCCGCCTGAAAATGTCATTAGCGTCTCTAGCAAGCAACTCAACAAGTTTTCAAAGTATACAATGTATGCCTCAGTCCTCTTAATAGAGACGTCGAGCAAGTAAGTAGTGCAAAACAACTCTCTTGAAGCTCAAAACAAATGGGGTGGTAAAAAAGCAACCAATGAAAGAAATCTGGTCAATTAGCAACTCAGTGATGAAAGGATATGGGTTTAGTCATGTGAAAACCAGAAAATAAAATGAAGATGGTGAATGCTCAAGAGACGGAGGTCTTTCCTATGCTATTGCATACAATTGACCAGCATCAGTTAATCAAATGAAACCAGTAAAAAATGCAGAAAAATGAGGTGAGGTTGGTAAAATAAGCATGTTAATACCAGCACAAAGGCTGCTGGCAATGCAAGAAAAAGCATAACTAACTTCATTAGAAATTTAGGTGATTTTTTTCTTTTTCTCTTTGGAAAAAAGTAGCGAAGAAAAAAACAACCATAGACACTTCATAAACAATATCAAAAGTGCCAAAAGCAAAAATAAATGAGCAACAGAAGACAAACACAGGGTGGCGCCTTACATCTTTACTTTTGAGAGAGGGTGTGCTGCGGCTCGAGCTGGAACCACTCCTGCTCGGCGGCCGATCCCTTTCTCTCTCTCGATCTCGTTCTCGATCTCTACTACTCGCGGAGTTTTTGTCTCCGTTTTCTCGGACATCTGAAGCATGAGCTCCATTTGCATGGGGTGATGTTGGGTCCTGGAACAATTTTTTTAATACGTTGAAAATCTGGAACCTTGAAGGGACCAATCTTATCTTTTGTTTCCACAGACCAACAAGCACATAGTATGTAGGACTTTCTTTCCATTTTCAATTTAGGAGGAGAAGTTGTGCTTTTAAGATTTATATATTTGTGTAGAGAGTTTTGTTGAATTAAATGAATAAAATGACTGATTGCTTGTAGGATGATAGATTGTTTGACTTCGTTGTAAATATTCATGACAAAAAGTGACTAAAATGAAGTATTCTATGCATTACTAAAACAAGAGGGTTTTAAGAGAAACAGGTATCATTACCTCATTTGCCACATCCACTACTAAATCTGGATCAGCATCAGCGTCACTTTTCTCTCCTTCACTTTCCTACAAAACAGAAAACATCGATTAGAAATAACAATACACAGATAAAAGCTCAGAAAAGCTCAAGAAAAACAAGCAACACTTACATGGTGACTTAATTTGTCCTCTCTCCTTCGCTTGGTATCACTAGCTTCTGGAGTTCGAGTGCGATATTTGTCCCTTTGGCCGGGTGACACAGATGTCCTCTGATATAATAAACCAACCAGCAATAAATTAAAAAGCACTTACTTTACAGTCCAAACCAAAATAAATTCTTTTAAAGCATTACAAAAAAAAAAAAAAACTAGGAAAAAAAACAAGAAAAAAAAGTTCCTTACATTACGTACCAGTCTGTCATCTGGTAAAGAGCTAGGACCTTTAGTGGCAAGGTCTGTCGGTTCTCTTCCATGGAGATCAGGCTTAAGGAGGGAGTGGGGGGGAGCTCCTGCGCCCAATGCACCGCCAAACAGAAGGCCGCCAGGACCAAGGCCAGGGTGCGGTCCCAAGGGTAGACCCGGTGCTGGGCCCCCATGGGCACCGTGGGCCCCGTGAGGCAGCTGCTGGGCGTGGATCTGTTGCTAGAGAAAAGCAAAATTCACACTGAAAAATATGGTCATAGTAAACAGAGTTCGACATTTATTGACTTCTTATTTTTGAGTACATCATGAAAGAGAAGGCAGAAACCCACAAACAAACAAAAAAATTAGACGAAAGAGAATAATTTAAATTACATTGCTGTACTGTACAGATCCAATTCATTGACATGGCCACATGCTCCCAATTTGAGTTGTCACCTCAATGCCATTCCCATTAATATATTGTGAGTGCATGCACCTGTTACATTGCTACTTACCAAAAGTTGCTGAAGTCCTTGCTGCTGTTGTTGCTAATGGGGCAAACAATACCAGCATCAGCAAACCATCACCTCTACCACACACTACTTCAGAAGTGGAACAGTGGAATAGAAGAACACAACCATTTCCTCAGGTATAAGAGTGACAGAAAATTTTAAGAGAATGTCATTACGGCATAAAAAAGGACCTCACAAGTATTTTGGAGAAATAAGAGAAAAAAAATAAGAGAAAAAAGAATTTACATTTTAATACATATCATTCCCTTAAAAATTTTCTGTACCAAGTGTTTTAATGCTTATTAGCCTGCTCTTTAATGCTACAAAAGTCAAAGTCTAATTTTGGACTTAGAGACAGGTTTGCGCTCCATCCACATAAGGATAACAATTGTACATGCCATGAAAGTAGACTACCATGCGGGTTGGAATATTTCAAGATATCATAGCTCATGCATATTCCTCCAGTTTTCCATCATAGGAGACCATCATAGGCCAAAGAAGAAGGGAAAACAAAAAGAAAATAGGAGAAAAACCTCTCCCTTATCGTGACCAGTAAACTTTCCCAATTAATTCCAACCGTAATTGAGTGGTACAGCACATAAGCGTATCAATATTATAACTATATACTTCATTCATGACATTTTAACTTATTAGGAAGAAATAGCAATGAAGATTGTAGACCGTTTTGCAGTCCATAGAAGAAAGAGTTTTCAAATTGGATAGGTTTGCATCAGAAACTATCTACTTTTGCAATCACAAACGCTTACTATGGTTGATATAAAATAAAAAAGGAAACATAATCTCACCCCTATGATAGCATTTAGCTCTGAAATAGTAACTTGTTTGGCTCGTTCCACAGCTGTTGCCACTTGTTGCTGATGCTGCAATGAGGTATGAAATTATTTAAATATATTTTAAAGATAAAATTTAATTAACTTTGATGTACACAAGAACTAATACAAACCTCTTGAGCTAGGAATGGGAGGACTTGTGCAATTATAGCATTTAATCGTTTGGCAATCTCAGTCTGAAAATAAAAAAATAGAATGAACCACAATTAATTTCATATTTTGGACACGACCACAGCTGTCGATAACTAATTGAAAACGGGCAAAGAGGGAGGGGGGCGGGGACGCGTGAGAATCGACTGCGAGTGGAGTAGCTGCGCAAACAGGGACCGCAGATAAACACGGGAGCAAACAAGCGCTGCGTACGGAGTGGCGGAGTTGGCGCAGTGGGGAGGGGGCATCACAGGAAAACAGTGGGGAGTGTAAAATGGACGGGGCGAGGCAAGAGCCACCAGGTGACCCCGTGACGTGACGCCGAGGGAGGAAGGGTGGAGAGTGAAGGGATGGCGGTGCTCCACAGTGGAAAGATGGATCATTTACAGCTACTAATGATCTAAACAGGTCAATGACGTGAAAATTGTGTGAATTTACTTTTGGAAAGTACTAATCAAAGCCCAGTGAGGCGTTGTTTGAGCCTTGGGTAACGTTATCGCGCAACCATCTCACCCCCTTTTATAACTCGGACAGACGGATAACTCCGAGAGCAGGCACGAACACCCACAGAACACCCTGGTCCACTACGGACCGGCAGCCCCTGACAGGGAACGGTTTCGAAGTTAATGGAAAGGGCAGATAGGACGGAGAGGGATTGTTGCAGGAATAGAAAAGGTGCGAGTGAGTGCTTGTGCGTGTATGTGAGTGTGTGTGCGTGCCGAGTGGGCGAGGGGTTAAAGAATGGTGAGGGATGGCGGCGGGGGAAAATACGATAGGGAAGAGCAAAAGGGAGTCGGAATAGACGCCGCGACGCGGAGGGCTGAAACAGACGAGGGGGTGGGGGAGGGGAAGGGAGCGCTCGCAGAAAACCGAGAGATGTGGCTGAGGAAATGAAATGAGGTCAGCAGCTACAGCAGCTAGCTCTCTCCGCAAGACAGAGGAAGACGCGGTGTGGCCATGAGGGGTGGCAGAGGGTCCAACACCCCGCGTGGCGCCGCGTGGTGCAAAGTAGAGTCCTTGACCGCTCACCTGTTTGTGCATCTCCACGTTAAGGCCGTAGGACATCTCGTAGTACTGTAAACAGACGGAGAAAAAAATTAGACAACCGCAAAATTTTCTGGTAGTTCGTAACCCTTTTTATCTTCTGATCGTTTTCTTAAGATCAGGCCTTTCCAGGCTTGAAGTGATAAAATAAGCCCAAGACGTTCGTGTCCGATATTCACCCTCTTGCGACTTAATTTTTCAGGAAAGTCTTTCAAGTAGCAATTGCTTCCACAATCGCAGATAAGCGAGCTTCTCGAACCGACAACTTTTGAGAGCAAGTCAACACACAGGTCACAAATCGAAATTTTGTACCAAATCGAGTAATTTGGAGACATTTCTCACAAGTTTCATTTTTAATTTTGTTAGTGCACCGCGCCATGCCCCGCGCGTGCACGGACCGGGAAGCGTCCGAAAGCCCCGCGGCGTTCGCGGCGTGTGTGCCGATAGGGGCCGAATTTCACACTGCCTGTCGAAGCCTGCCAATCTCACTCACCATGACGTAGTGCCGCTGTACTTCAGTCTTCTCTCCCGCCAGCTTCTCGCACTCCATCTTGAGCCTGCAAGCAACAACAGTCCAATCAGTCCCCGTCGCAACGCGCGCGTCCCGAAAAAGTCTTCCCACTTCCTGCCAATTCAAGTCACTCGCTTTTCAGCAACGTGCGCGCAATTGAGATGAATCAGGCAAGCACTATCGCCACACTATTAAAGAAAGCTACGGGGCGCCCCATGAGTGCGAGAGAGACAGAGCGACGACAGGGACTCTCGGAATCCGTCTGCAGCGTCGCCTCGGCCGTCGCCTCTGCCTCAGCGATCCGACGACGAGTTTTCATTTGCCGGATGATGCCCCCGTTTGCTTGCGCCCCTTTTCGGGAGTTTGACACTTGACACGCGAGTGGGGGAGGGACGGGCAGGGAGAGGGGGGAAGGGGCACCGCGCCCGGCGACAAGGGCTCTCGAACCGAGTGGACGGCACCGCGCTCGACGCGCTCGACGCCGCGCGCTGCAAGGCGCACATTTTATCGAGCCACACGGCGAGGCGCGCAGCGCACAGCACCGCGCACAGCACCGCGCTGGCCGAGTAGGAAGGAAAAGGGACTCGTCACGAACGCATCGGGCGGACGAACAGACGGACAGACAGACCGGCGGCCAGTAGGCAGGCAGGCAGTCAGAGCCGCAGCAAGCCGGGCCATGACGTGACGGCCAATTATTATCATTACAGCAAAGCGCGCTCCGCCCCGCCACGCCTCGCCACGCCCCGCCCGCGCACCCACGACGCGAGGAGGCTGCCCAGAGCCCCGCCCCGCCACGCCTCACTACGCGGCCAGCTCAGCCGAGGGCGCTGGTACGCTGGTCCCAGACGGACGGGCCCCGCAGCCTCCAGCGACGCGGCGGCATCGCCGGCAGAGCGTCTAAGCTCTCCCTCGCATCCTTGCTGAGCGACCCCGTGAGCACGACAGAGACAGAGCCGTCCGGAGGCAGCCTGCAGCACCATCGCTTCGCTCCCAATGTGGCATACTATACTCACTGGTGGTATTGCTGCTGCAGAAAGTTGAACTCCTCCTTGATCCGCTCGCACGTGTCCGCCACCGTGAACTTGAGCTGCCCCGGCTGCGGACCCTGCAACAACGCAACATTCAGCCATCACCACACTGCATGGAAGGGTCATCGCGGCCTCACCACAAATACCCTCGGATTCGGACGGACTTTTTTCGGAGTGTGCGTGTGGTGAGTGCAGGGGGTGGGGGGCAAGAAGGCGACCCACTAATGAATTTCGGGGTGTCGCGCGGCGCGGCGTCACACAGGGCGCGCGCCACGCCGCGGCACGCACGCCTCGATGGGTCAATGACAGACACGCGATGGACAGGGGGCTGGCGCTGGCGGGGCAGACTAACCCCAGCGCGCGCGCGCACACACACACACAGGCGCAAAGAGTCCATAAATCGTGGAACCGCCGCGGCGACGCGGACACGCGGACGGCAGCAGGCCGGGGGCCGCCAGGGGCCGCCAGGGGCGCCTCTTCGACCAAGGCGTGCCCCATCCGCACTGTCCGCACGCACCACAACAGAAAAGCCCGCATTCCTCCGCCTCCTCCTCCTCCCGGATGAAAATAACAAAATCAGCGCGCGAGCGGTCCGTCCGCGGCACTATACTCCAGGCCGCGCCTTCCTTCTTTCCCACCAGAAACACTCCGAGGAAATAATAATTCACGGCGCGCGGCCACCGCCGGCCCCGCCTGGCCCACCTCAATCATAAATCCCAAACGAAACGGCGATATAATAACAATGACAAAAGAAAAGAAAGAAAAAAAAAAAAAAATGGGAGATAAGAAAATAAATCCTCCAGCCCGGAATTAAAAGAGTAATCATGGAATGCGTTCGCTTCTCCATCGTCCGTGTGCCGTATCAAACGACAGGGCAGCAGAGCGACGGCAATCATACCACCTGAAACTCGGGGGGGGGGGGGGGGGGAGGGGGAGGGGGGGGGGGGGGGGCAATATACACGAGTGCGAGGTGAGCAACGCGGGCGAGTAAAGAAAACATGAACAATAAAAGTAAAGGGCTCAAGGCGCAGAGGTGGAGGGGGAGGCAGGGGGGGAGAAGCGACGCGTACTTCGACTCCCCCCCCCTCCCTCTCGGTACACAAAACTGATTCCCTCGCCGCTCGAAGCGCTCCGCTCGCGCCCTTCCCGTACACAGTCAGGCGGACGCGTGTCACAAAAATCCGATACAAAATTTATCGACACGGAGCCAGCCAGCCAGCCAGCGGCACAGCGCAAAAAAGAAAAAAACGTGAACACAATAAAAAGATATGCAACAAAACACGAGTAAGCGGGCTATGAGATGATCCGGGAATCTAGGGAAGTGGAAAAGGAGGGGCGAGGGGGGAAGTGGTAGAGAGAGACAGAGAGGGGGAGGGAGGGGGAGAGGAGGGAGGAGGGGTGCGGCGCGGCAAAGCCGAGGCAAAGCGACCTGGGCGCGAATAATCAAGTGCGGCCCGTGATTGTGCACGTGCGCTCACTGGTGGCGGGGGAGGGGGTGGTCCCTTCACCACACCTCACTCTTGCTCTCTCTCTCTCTCTCACTCACACAGACAGACAGACAGACACACACACACACACAATAAACGCAAGCGCACGCTCTTTTTTTCCATTTGCCCTTTCCCATTTCCCTTCTCTCTTCCATGCCTCCTCTCCCTCTCTTTTTTTTCGGGCATTTGCTATCGATTTGACACATGCAGGCGTGTCGCGGCGCTGGTCTGACACGCATGGTCTCGGACGGCACCCTGCCTGCGTGAACGGCTGCGCCAGAGGGGGCAGGTGAACCCGAATAGCGACGCCCGGACGGACCGATTCCCCTTTCGGACAATTTTCCAGACACACCCTTAAAACATTACGAAGTATTTTGAGCATACATACGTACAAACTAATTTACTTTGTTATACGAAGAAATAGTTCGTAAATTGCGAAGCATTTTCCTTGTAAGCTTATGTATGCTCAAAATACTTTGTTCTTACAAACTGCTTTGCTTCGTAAGGCCTGAAATAGTTTGTAAGGTTTTCTCAGTGCAAGAAGTGAGACAATCACAGAGTCGAATGCGCTTTTCCGCTGGCTAGGAATGCAGTGACTTTTCCCAGATGTCAAGCGACGTCCTGCGGAAAGGCGTTCTAAACTGGCCGTGCCTCGCCCTTTTTTTTCAAGCGGTCACCACAGCTCCAGGCAGCTGGAAGGGACGGGGGACTCGAGTCCCACTCCACAGGCGGCGTCACCCAGGCCGGGCAAGGTGGGCGGGGCCGCGGGGCCGCGGGGCCGCGCGGGGGCGGCGAAGGGTCTCCGCCAGCAGCGCCGGCAGCGCCATGCCAAGTCCCCAAGGTACTTCCGGACCCGAGGGGCGACGCGGCGAGGCGCCGGACGGGAGGTGGGCTGAGCATTCGGGTCGCCTGCCGCGCGCCGCCCTGTCTCTCTCGCACCTATACGGGACGCCCTGCGAGTGTGAGAGAGACAGAGCGACGAAAACTACACTCGCGGCGCGGGCCGAAAGCAAAAGGGGCGGAGGGGAGCCGGCAGGCCGCAGCGAGCCGCAGGCCACACGGTGCGGTTTGACGACAACTGGAGTGGCTGCGCGTACAGTGTGCGCCCGCGGCGCGCAACCGTGGACATGCAGGGCAGGGCGGCGGTAATGCGGTTAGGCCAACTGGGCGGGGCGGGCGGGCGGGGCGGGGCGGGGCCCAGTCCCCGCCGCACGACCCCCACGCCTCTCGCACGTCCCATCTCCGGCGAAAGCAAATCCAAACAAATTGTCGAGCGGCCCGGAGCGGGCGCGGCGCGGCGTGGCGGGTTGAGCTTCAGGACGCGGGGGTGGGCGGGGGTTGGTTCAAGGGGGAGGGGGAAGGGGGGCTGCAGGTGAGGGTGGCGCGGTGGCTCCCGATGAACACGGCGCGCGGCGGTCTGTTGACACACTGGCTACACACGCAGGCGAACAGGGCGAGGAGAGAACAAACAGAAAAACAGACGAATGCAGGGGGAGGAGGAACAGAGAGAGAGAGAGAGGAGGGAAGAGAAGGGTGGAGGGAGGTATGAGAGGAGTCAGACAAGTAACTCGGGGTACTTGAAGGGCCGCGGCGTGTCACGACGCCCCCGCGCCTTGCTGGCTGGGGCGGGGCCGCCGTGTTTACACAGACCCCTCCCCCTTCTCCGCGGACAAAGCAGCCCCCCCTCTCCCCTCGTGTCGCTAGTCCGCGAAAGGAAGGATGAGGCGAACCAGGCGAGGCGAAGGGACAGGGACACAGATGAGAAAGGGACGGATGACTCTCTCCCTCTCTCTCCCTCTGCCCGCCTGTCGCGCCCTTCTCCCTGCCCGGCCCTCGCTGGGGAATCGATCACGGGCTGAGTAGGACTGAGCGGCAAGCTGAGTCGCGGGCTGAGCGGGGACCGAGACTGAGGAGCAGGGACCGGCAGGACGCTGAGGCAGCGCCAGGCAACGCCAGGCAACGCCAGGCAACGCGTGCACTGCACACAGCGAGGTGTGGCGGCGGCCGGCCCGATAACCGATCAATAGCTCAGCCCTATGCGGCCCTTCGGCCCTGCTTCCATCCGAGGCGCCCTGCCGCTCGCCCTTCACAGCGTCGCGCCACGCAGGTGCATCAGGGCGACACAGAGTTCCGGCATGCGGCCGACGCCGGGGAGCCAGCCACTCGGGCACACAGCAAGAATCATTCCAGCGACATCAATGATCGATGGAATACACACATTTTCCACGGAAAGCAGGGGCGCTGTTTCCTTGCGTGAGATTGGCAGCTGCTCTCTCCTTCGGCACCGCAGGCGTATGTGGCCTCTAGCGCCTGTGAGGTAGGCCACCGGCCCGGCCCGCAACACACCTGTATGGAGACGGTGGCCTACCCTGCCCCTGTCGTCGTGAGGGGCAAGGCAGGCCACCGTCTCCACAGCGGCGTGTTGCGGCGCGAGGGGCGGCCTACCTCGCAGGCGGCAAGACGAGCGGCTGCTGAAGCCTGCTCGGTGAAGTTGGGAGCCGTTCCCGTCGCCAGCCAGCCGTTCAAGTGTGGCCACAAATTTGCGCGCGTGCGCCCCCCCCCCTTCTCGCACTCATAGGGAGGCACTGCTCGCAGCCAGACTAGACTGCAGGCCGGCGTCCGCGCAAAAAGCGCCGACAGCCACGCGTCTCCTAGAATAGCGGGGAAGCCGGCAGGGGCCGGGGCCCCGCGATGAACCGGCGCCGATAAGCCGCGTGTGGCCATCGGTCAGCTGTCAGGACGCGGGGCGGGGCGCGGCGGGGCACGGCGGGATAGGCCGCGATAAGCACGCGCACGCGGCCCGACACTACAACCAGCGCTGATTAGCACTGCTTTCGTCGCTCCGTCTCTCTCGCACTCAGGGGCGGTCCGTAGGGCGAGAGGGACAGGCGACGAAGCAGGTCGGAATCAGACGGCAGAGCCAAGCCAGGCCAGGCCGCCAAAGCAATGCGAGTCTCACCCGGTGCGGCGCGGAGGGCGCGGGCATGCTGGCGGTGCGCGGCAGCCTTCCGGGGCACTAGAAGGCAGCTTGGGGCCGCGGCGCGCAGCACGGTGCACTGGCCGCTCCCACACTCGCGCTCCGACTGCCAGAGACTGGCGGCAAGCCCGCCCCGCCCCGCCCCGCCGGCCCGGCCGACAGCAAGCCGACAGGCAGCCGGCGCGGTGGCCGCGAGCCGCGATGCACGGACCCAATCAGGAGGCCGCCTACACGACGGACGGCGGGACGGCGGGACGGCGGGGACGGGACGCGCGCGACGCGAGCAGTCACATCACGGACCCACGGACCCACGCCGCGGCAGCGCAGCACCACAATCTGCCGGCAGATCGCCGCCCCGCCGCCCCGCGCCCGCACTCATCCGGAATCACCGCCGCCAGCCAGACCGACCCATCGGTCGCTCCGTCTCCCTCGCACGGAACGCCCCTCGAGTGCGAGAGAGAAGGAGCGACGAAACGTCCTCAGGAATCGCTCGACAGGCCGAGTCGCCCCACGGCCCCACTGGCGGATCGTCCCCTAGAGGTGCGAGAGGGACAGAGCGACGATGCGTTGTTCGGAACCAGCCCGCAGGCGACAACACCGCTCCCACACTTTCCCGCGATCCTTTGTGGCGACCGGGCTGGCCGGCAGGGCGCCTTCTTCGGACCCCTCACTTATCTCCGCACGCGTCCTTCTTTGCCCCTCATTCCGAAGGATGGCGCTCCGTCCCTGTCGCACTCGTGGAGCGCCCCGCGGGAGAGCGAGAGAGACAGAGCGACGGAGGGCCCTTCGGCGGCAAGCCCCGGGCAGCCGAGCGGCGACGAGATGGACGTATGAATGGGATGGCATCCACTGGGTCCCCGCCGTCCCCGCTCCCCTCCCACTGGACAAGCCCACGCCACGGAGGTCGGACGCAGTCGGACGCGGTGGTAAAGCACGGGACAGAAGTGGTCTTCCCCCTCCGCGCCGCCCCCGCGCCCCGCCGCCCCGCTAGAAGATCGATCCACGTCTGGCCGCGCCGTGCCGTACCGCTGTGTGTATGCCACAGTGTTTCATCAAAGACAACTCTTTTCCAGCTGCAGCCTGGCCGCGTGGGGCGGGGACGGGTGGGGCGCGGCGCGGCGGGGCGGGGCGGGGCGGGGTGGAGTGGGGCTCGGCAGGTCGACGCTGGGGACCCGCCGCCTCACCGTCCACCTCCATTCCCTCCCTGTCACTGTTCAACTGCTTCCCAACTCAACCTTTCCCCTCGCCATCCCCGCAGAGGGCGTACGAGAGTGCTCTGCGCGGGGCGTCGCCCGGCGTCGCCTCCCCCTCTGGAGTCCCCCGGAGCTGCCCCGGAGAGCTGGAGCGGCGGAGAGCTCTCACAGGATGGCATTGTTGCATGCCACGGCCGTCGCCTCGCGTCCCGCCGCGTCCCGCCCCGCCAGCAGGCTCATTCCGAAGCGTCGTTTTGTCGCTCTGTCTCTTTCGCATTCGTGGGGCGTCCCGCGGGGGTGCGTCAGAGACAGAGCAGCGACGCAACGGCTCTTCGGAAACGCTCGGAAACCAGGCCGCCCCGACCGCAATCTGAATGCCGCGGCGCGAAAAATAACCCCGGGATGGAGCGCCTCATCCAGCCTCCAGCAAGCAGCCCGCCCTGCGCCCACGCCAGCCCCGCCCAAGGCCCGGCCTCCAGGGCTCGGCAGCCGCAAGGCGGTTGCGTCACGGGGAGGGGGTGGAGGCCGGGGCAGCGGTGCTGTGTTGACCATAGGAAAGACATAGACTCTTGCTTTGGACAAGAGGGGGGATCCGTTCTGTCAGGGAAGACTGCTCGGGTATTTCGATGAACACGAGTACGCCAGGATGTCCAGGCGGCTCGGCGGCAGGAAGCGGCAGGAAGTGAAGTGGGCGGGGCAGGCGTCCAAAGTTTGCCAGTGACAGGTCAAGCAGTGAGGCGCGGCGTCTCGCAGCTCGAAAGGGGCGAGAGAGGACGTGCCCCTCAGCTCGGACGCGACGTCCCGTTCAACGACTCCCGGCCCCCGCGACCGCGAGCCACCGCGACGTCTCCCGAGGCGGCGTCGCCGTCCAACCGCAGCGCCGCGCCGCCGCGCGCCGTGGGAGAGGCAGTCGGAGGCGCTGGGGCGTGATTGGCAGGCTGCAACCGCCGTGGTCCGAGCGGCCACTTAATTCGTGTCTCCGTCTCGGTCGCACTCGTGGAGCGTCCCGTAAGAGTGCGAGAGAGAAGGTAAGTCGCAGCCTGCAGGCGCACCGCGAGTGGCTGGCGCGCCGGACCGCGGACACGGCGAGGCGCGAAGCAGCAGGCACAGAGAGTCGTTTCCGTCGCTGTCTCTCTCGCACACACGGGGCAGCGACCGTGGGTGCGAGAGAGACAGCGCGACGAAAACGACTCCCGGAATCAGTCTGCAGCGCGAAGCAGCGCCAAGCGGGGCCCTAGTAGCACAGCCACCATCAATCACAGACTTCGCCACGCCACGCCAGGGGCTCGGCCGGCTCGGCGACGCTCCGGAAAGCTCCGACGTCGAGGCGGCGCGGCGGAGCAAGGAACGCGGCGGCGGGTCGGCCGCTACGCTACAAGTCCACGTGGATCATCATTCTGGAAGACAATACTCCTTCGTGCGGCTTGACTTGACTCGGCCGCGCCGCCACGCCGGCCGTCTGGTCCCCGCCGACCATGCGGGAGGGGCCGGCCGGGGCGTGGCGGGGCGTGGCGGGGCGTAGCAAGGTGTGGGGGGTCAGGCGGGAACAATCGGAGCCCCGGCCGTCCCGGCCCGGCCTGCAGGCTCACTCTGAAGGGGCTTTCGTCGGTCCATCTCACTCGCACCCGGACTGGACGCCTCATGAGAGCGAGAGAGACACCTCCCGCTCGGAATCAGTCCGCTGAGCGACGCTCCGGCCCCGCATCGCTTCGTGCTTGAGCCCCGCGGCCCCGCGCCGCCCCGCCGGGCAGTCATGCTCACCCTTTTAGGGTCCAGGGAGCCCCTTCCCCCTTCCCTTCCCCTCGCGATCCTCTCCATTGCACTCCGCGCTGCGCTACGCTCGCTACGCCTGTCCAATCAACATTTTCTTTCCTTCGCCGCGTTCGTGCCAAGCGTGCGGAGCGAGTGAGACAGAGCGGCACCAGTTGAAGCGGGGCCAGCCTCCCGGAGGAGAGAGAGGGACAGAGCGAGTGGAGGCGAGAGGGCGAGGGCCAGGCACTTGATGGGCCGCCCGTCCGGCCTCGTCTCTCTGGATGCATCAAGATCACCAATTCCGGCCTCCAGGAGTCTTGTGCACAAAAACCGTCCACCAAAAAGTTAGCATGACAGCAAATTACACTTTGGAATTACGTTAAGATTACAGATGTCAAAGCGACATCAGAGGAGGCTAAAAAAATAATCCATTTTTTAAAAAAATCGCTTATTTTGTCAAATCGCAACATGTTTACCAATGTGAAGCTTCATGAAGGTTCAATACTGCCAAAGAGCCTGACAAACTTACAGGAACCACTAACAAAATAGAAAATTGTACTGCGATAAATGCAGCATTAAGCGAAACAAGCAAGAATGGTGCAAAAGATCTTCATGAGATGAATCGAACTTGAACAAAGAAATAAACGAAATGGAACGTAATAAAACAATTTAGGGGCAGAGTCGTTCACCAACAATTCTAATACATCTCAAAGATTAAGGAGACCTACAAATGAAAGTTAAGAAACTAAAATGTTCGAGCATCAACTAAGGTAACTGTCTCATAAAACTGGGGATCAAATGAAGGCACAGTAAGCTACAGTTTCCATACACAAATAAAATAGTTAGGTTAGGTTCCAGCATAATCGCAAGCAAAAGGCTACTAAAAACACCAGCCTGACCAACAAAACTAGCATCTGAGATTTCAGAATGCGTTCCCAAGCTGGTGGAAAAGAAAGCTATTTCGGTCGCAGCAGGGAAACAACCGGGCGGATAGCAAACAAGCTTTGAGTGGCGCCCCGGACTGCTCTCGGGATGGTCGCGCCAGACGCCGAGGCGATGCGACAATCGATGCGCACCTCGCCCGAATTACAGACACCGAGAAGTACAGCGGAAACATATTTGTAACCATCAACGCTCTGAACACTAAACAAAATACCCCAAACGTCGACAAATATATTTCCGAATTTCCGTAAGAAGATTTAGGTTATAATTTTACTTACCGCCGCAGTCGGGTGTCTGGCGGGTGCAGGATACATATTGGCTGTCACAAATAAACTAGCACATCAACTACACATGTTTCGCCCTCGCTGGGCCGCAGGATGCTTCTGGCTTCTCTTCCTTCACATCCACAGTCGCACACAAGCCGATCTTCCGTTCCTGTTTATCCCTATCCGACCTGGGGACGCTTCATGGCACTAGCGACGATATCCTCGGGCTCATATTTTCACAACACTGTTTCATGATTCACCACAACAACCGCCTTGACACCAACACTCCGACAGACCCGAACCCGAGTCCGCCCGTGCGCTTCCTCGTCCTCGTCCTCGGCCTCGGCCGTTCAATCGTAAACCGTACCACACTCGGATGTCGGGTCGGATTGGGATTTCACAAAAACGCCACCTTTCGGCACTAGCAGCGCCAACCGTCCATTGTCCCGAGCGGGGCCAAACCAATCTTGGCGCCAGAAACTCGTCCTCGTCCGCACTGACGCATTGCGGTGCACGTGCTGTTCCAAAATAGGCCGCCACTATTTTAAAACCGATCGTTACGTTCCTCGAATTGCTGCTTCGTTCCCTCTCCGTTCCGTTTTCCGAAAATGACAGATTCCCTTCCCATCAAGCCAAGCAGCCCGACTCGGATCGGAACTCGCACGTCGCCACTCGGCTTGGCTCGGCCCTCGGCCCTCGGCTTCGGCGGTACTTCGGCACCTTCGGGCCGGCGCTCGGCTTGACCGCTCGGAGAGGCGAAGGCGAAGGTGTCGCTCGCGCCCACCCGAAGTCGAGCGCGTTGAGCGCGTCGCGTCAGGCGTCACGCCCGCCTGCAGGCGCGCTCTAGCGGACAGTCACGGAACTCGGTCCGCGCGCCGCGCGCCGCTCGGCATCTTCGGCGGCCGCCGTCGGCTGCTCGCCGAACAGAGCCGAAGTGCGGACCCGAAGTGGAGGCCCGATGGCCGAGCCTGTGTTGTTGTCAGTTCAGTACAATAATCGTTAGTTGTTCCGTCACAGCTGCTGCGAAGAGAGCTGTGCGGAACCAATGCGCGTTGTGTGATCCTCCGAGTTGCCGTTAGTGCGAGAATATGCGAAAATGGATAACCTGGACCTAGAAGATCCGAGCGATCTGAACGTCGTGTTCAACTCCGCACGAGACGGCAACCTGCGACGCTTGAAGGTGAGACCAGTTTTCTCTTCTTGATCTTGGTCGAGCAGGAAAGAAAGTAGGCTCTGGAGGTGCGCCACCATTGTGTCAGTCTTTACGAAAGGCAGCTAAATTCGTCCCGAGTCGCGGTCGTCACGTTGGGGCTTTCCCCGCGCTGTCCACAGCATTTGAGGCTCCTTTTCATCCGGTCCCAGAGGACTGTCCTCTGCTAGATGTTGCTGGATTGGGACTTTTGTCAGTTTGGAGAAGATTCCTGTCCAAAGTAGGGTTAGGTAGTGAGGCACTTGCTCAAGTTATTGTTATTGTGCTACTTATTATCGTAGTGAGGGTTAACATAGGAACTCAATTGGTGAGGATTTTGATCTCGTTGACAGTGTTCCCCACATAGATTCTGTTTTTACTGTCATGTCCGTAATCATTTTAATGTTCAATCTTGATGGGACTTTCTTTTTCTAGTGAAGAGAAATAATAGGACAATTTTATGTAGAATTCGTTGGCACTGACTGGATTATTCAAACTTTACACATTGATTTTCATTGTATGTTACGACAAGTACATAATTATTCGTCATCATTTTCTGAAGGAGTCACCTGTTGAACTTGAGATTTTTGGTTTCTTATCTTTTTTGGTATTTGGTTGTGTAAATTATATTAACAGACTTAGGGGCATTTGGAAGGTGTTAGTTCTGACCAATATGCAACAGCGCATTAGTCTACTGGAATAGAACAAGAGGCCAGTATTTAACTCTAAAAACTCTAAAAGCAAGCTTGGTCCCCCTCTAAAATATCTTCATCAACTTTGCCGGTTATCAGCTGGGCACAATGTTGGCTCTGCTCCTCTAAGAGTTATCACAGTCATACAATCTTGCTTTTTCCCCCCTGACTCTTTTATTTGTATGTTTCCGGACCGATTTGTGATTCCATTTTTTTCTTGAGGGTAATTACTCAAGCATGGCAGCCAGACATGGTGTAGGCATGCCGCAGGCATGGTGCCAGGCCGGACTGGCAGGCAGAGACGGTGTGGCCGTTTTATTCCGACGGTGTACTAGTGGCAGGACGAGGGTGGGGTGGCCAGGGTCCGACCTCGTGCCCGGGGCAAGCCCGGCAAGCCTGGCGCTCGCAGCCACCCCGCGGACCTCACACGGGTAATCCTACCCAGGGAAGCCGAGCACCGGCCGCAGCAGGCCGACGTACAGTGCTTTCGTCGCTCTGTCTCTCTCGCGCCCCTCCGCAGCGCGCCGTGAGTGCGAGAGAGACGGAGCGACGAAGGCACTGTTCGGAATCTTCCTGCACCGTCCTGCCTCTCTGTATATGGAGCCTGGGCGCGAAGCGCGAAGGCCTCAAGGCCGGTCTTTGACCCACCTGCCGGCCCCGCCCGGCCTGGCCCCGCCCGAACTCCGCCACCTTAGCGTGCTCGGGTCCGTATGTCACCCATGCCGGGCTAAGGGCCTGTAGAGTCTGAGGCCTAGCTGGCACTTCCCCGGAGTGGCTAGGTCGTGCTGGTTGCCCGCCCGCCGGGCGTCGGTCGAACCTCGAACCTCATCCCGAGGCGGCCGCTTGACGCGCATGACTCACAGTGAATCTGCCGCCAAAATACTCTGCCTGCCGCTGACTGCGCTGACACTCGCTGCTCGCTGGTCTGGCGTCGTACGCGAACACGAAGGCCTGCAACGCGCGCAAGTCGCTGGCCAACGTTCGAGGAAGACTTCGTGACCAGCGACGTTCATGCATTTCCGAGATGGCCGCGTTTTGATTTTACGAAACGTGCCTCCTCGCGCGGTCGTCCGAAGGGTCGTTTGGATGCAGTTTCTGTCGCATCCCCATGACGCGGCGCCCCATGAGTGTGACAGAGAGCGATCCTTCGGGGTCTGTGGCGGCGCGGCCAACCTAGAACCTCGTGCCTAGGCCCGCCCGCGCCGCGCCCGCGCCGAGATCGACGCGGCGGCCCAAGTTATCGGACACCGCCAAGTGTTTGCCAGAGATACATAGATGGATAGATAGATAGGTGTGGCGGCGGCAGACACCGATCGCGCACCAGAGCGGCGGCCCGCGACCCTCAGCACGCAAGCCGTCTCATTGGCCGCACATGGGTTTCGTTTCGTCGCTCTGTCTCTCTCGCTTCCCTTGTCGGTGCGACAGAAACAGAGCTGTGCCGAGTCGGTCTGCAGGGACGTGGCCGTCCGTGCGTGGCGCAGCGAGGCGCCGGGTGTGGGGGTGTGGGACTGCGAGACTGCACACGCCGCGGCCGGCAGGCTAATTCCGACAGTCCTCTCTGTCTGTCTGCCTCGTACTCATGGGGCGGCGCGTGCGAGAGAGACAGGGCGACGAAAGCGACTCAGTGTGCAGGCCCTCCCAAGGCCGTGCTGCCGGGGTCCGTGACCTTCCCCAACGCTCCGCGGCACTGGCGGCACAGCCCGGCCCGGCGGCACCGCGGCGGCCCTCGGCACGACGCCGGTGCACGACGCCGCGTCCACCTATGCGGTCGTTGACGCCGCCGTGGACCCCGCGACGCCGAGGGCGGCCGAGGGCCTCCGCGCGACGGCGTCCTTGACGTCCATTGTCTCCGCCGCGGCGCAGCGCGCGTCGTCGTGGGCACGGCGGCACGCCGGTGGCGCCACTGGTGCAGCTGGCGCATCTGCAGCTGATGCATCTGATGCACGCGCCGCACGCAACAGTTGGTGCCGCGTGCGTGGGGCCGCACGGGAGCCGCTGCTGCTAGCGCCGCCGAGACATTGAAATGCCGAACCCAGATCGCCCCTGACCCCTGCCCACCCCGATTCCGAGAGTCGTTTTCGTTAAGGTCTCATGTTTTCGTTGGCCCGTCTCTCTCGCAGTCGTGAGGGCATCCCGTGTCGGTGCGAGAGAGACGGAGCGACGGAAACGACCCTCGGAATCCGTCTGCTTTCGCCCTGCGTGCCGAATGCGAGATGCGACCCCCGACAGGGGTCGAACCGGATAGGGGTGGCAGAGCGACGAACTCGGTGACGAAACTCCTCGTCCACTCGGTCTGCAGCTGCAAGGGACCATCGGGGACACTGAACGCCGCGGCGCGCTCGGACCGCGTGCCCGCGATTGGCTTGGGACGCGCTTCTCGTGTTTTTTCGTGTTTTTTGCCGCCGCTTTGGGACGGAACGGTCATCGCTGTCACGCCCGCCTCGTATTTTTGGGCGCCATATCGCCGAGGCGTTCCGTATTTGGAACGCCCGACGCGCACGCCGCGCCGCCATGCCCGAGGGCCGCGCCGCCGCGCCCGCCACATGCACACTCTGCTTTTATTGGACTCTGGACGCGTGCGTGCACTCTAGATTATGCAAAGCGGGCAAACTGACTGAATTCGGAGGGACTCCGTTCATCAAATTTTGGAGGCACTCTGGCTGCCTTAAGACTTATTGGCGTGTCGCTACCGTTTCGCGTGCACGCGTGGACAGCCGGACTGTGGTTGAGGTCAGGCCTTTCCGCGGTTCGGGAGGTTAAGCTGGGTCGGGCGCCACTCGTGGGCCGTAGAGCGAGGTCTCTGTTTCTCTCTCTCTTTCTCGCGATCGTGGCGTCGAGTGAGGGTGCGAGAGAGACAGACGAAAGCACTGTGCTGGGTGACGCACGGGCCGAAATCTGGGTCGAAAGCCACGCGGAATGAGCTTGGGGCTGCACTCTCGCCCTTCTTCATGTCCTCATGTTTTGCGGGACTTTCTGTCGTACTTGGGATTCCTGACGTCTTGACGCTGACGTTACAGCAGTCGACTCTTGGACTTGTCGAAGCGGAACACGTCACACTGTTGCCACGAGAGCGTCACATCCTTGAACCACTTCGCACGATTAGCGGTCCCTTTGAAAGTCAAAGGGCGGTCTGCTCAAAGCAAGCAGGAAGTCGGAGCGTAAGGAAGCTCCAAGGAAAGGCGCTCCCATTTCAAGCCTGCCGCAAACAGGAATTTATTTTGTACGAGACCTAAGCACCGTTCTGTGTGTCTTTTTGAGAAACGGTCGCGCCGATTGTCTTGGAGGAAGGAACCTTCGACGACCGCGCTTCGCCAAAGAGCCCCGTTGCCCCACTCACGCATTTCAAATGGCGTTGGGATTGGGGGCCCGGCCTTGGCGGGCCTTGGCTTGGCGAGGCCGTGAACACGGTGAACACCTCGGGTGGCTCCGAGTGGCTCCGCGTGGCAAGGTCGGGACGGACAAGGCCGGGCCGCGCAGGGTCGCCCGCTCTCTGGGTCAGTCTAGGGGCAGAGTGTCAACTCGGCACCCATGGGCCACATTGAGTGCGCAAGTTCGTCGGGAACGACGTGTACTTTGTTGTCATTACAGATGTTTGTCACAGAGTAATGTGTAGTGGATTTTCTGAGACTGAGGGTTGTGGATTCCGAGAGTGTGGAAGGTGTGACTGAGTGCAGGAGTGATGCAGTGCTGCTGTCCAGGATGAGTGCTACTCCCGGTGGTGCAGACTGCGCTCGCTGCACTGCACGTGCGCCTCCTTATACAGGCTGCAAGTGGGAAGCGGCTAGCCCGGCCCGGCCCTGCCTGCCTGCAGACTCATTCCGAGAGTCGTCCTGTCTCTCTCGCACCTGCGCGGCACGCCCCGTGAGTGCGAGAGCGACGCAAACGACTCTCTGAATGAGTCTACAGCGCGGCGCGGCCGGTCCAGCGCGGCGGTCCAGCTCGGCGGCCCGCTCTTGCCGGTCTATCCCATCCTCGTATCAAGTGGCGGCGAAGGCCGTATCGTGATTCGGCCGCGGTGATGTCTGCGTCGCCTGCGTCTATTTCGAGAGGAGCACTGACAAAAAAGTGAATTGGTGGTCCAAAACGACCAGGCTCCGCGCTGCTCCGCGCGCACACGACCGCGAAGACGTTGTTGGCGCTTCCGACGACTGCGTTGCTGCGTTGTTGGATGCGAACTCGGGAGGCGTGGCAGTGGCACGACAGAGCTCCGACGCGAGTCGTTGACTGTTTCCGTCGTTTTGCAATCAAGGATGGACGGCAAATATGGAACGATTCCCGTCCCTGTGCGCGCAGCCTTGG